GGAGGCCGGCCACCGGCGCTCACCAGCCAACCACCGCCGTGAACCAGCCGGGCCCCTTAGGGGCGCGACGCATGTTCCGGCCGCAATGAGCATGTACGCCCGGCCACCGCAGCGCAGAGGTCGGGCCGCCACGGGCGCGAGGCGGTGTGTGTGCCTAGCCGCAAGACACAAAGACGAGGCCGTCGGCACAAGACCGCCGCAGTGGCTGCTGGCCGTGGCGCGAGGCCACAGGCGAAGGGGCCACAACGCGGTGGGCGCGTGTCCTTCGAGCATAGGGCGTGCGGGGTCATGGTGAGGAGGCAGCCGGCCGCGGAGTCGCCAGCCGCGGGGTCATGGATTGTCTGCTCTACCCGGCCTCTCCTTAGCCATGAACGCCGCCGCAGCAGCAGCCTCCACCACACTCCTCTACGGCGCGCTCCTCCTGGCGGCGTTCCTCTTCGTGGCCGTCGCGGTGCGCGGCCGCGGGAGCAAGAGCAACGGCGGCGGCCTCCCGCCGGGTCCCATGGGCCTGTCGCGTGGTGGTCAGCTCCCCGTCCCTGGTGCGCGAGGTGCTGCGCGAGCAAGACCTCGCCTTCTCCGGCCCCGACGTCCTGGACATGGCACGCTCCATCTCCTACGGCGCGCTCCATCTCCTACGGACGTGGCGTCATCATACGCGTAGCTGTAGGCGGAGGGGCATGCGGCCTTGAAGAAGCAAGAGTAGAGCGTCGGCGCGCACATCGTCGGGGACCCGTACGCGTCGCTGCAGCAGTACTCGGCCGCCGCGAACGCCTCGCACGCGCTCCTGCACGCCGCCGCCGCCCCGCCCCCCGCGCCGGCGACGTGCAGCTCCATGGGGCACGCCGCGTTGAGGTCAGCAGCGCTCCCCGTGGGCGGGCAGCTGCTGCTCCCGTTGGCGGCCGCCGCAGATGATGCCCGTGGCGCGACGAGCATCGGCACGTTGAATCCGTCCACGAGGCTGACGTCGTAGAAGTCGTCTCCGACGGTACCGCCAGTGAGTGTGAGCTCGGCCACGGCGACGCCCACTCCTGCTGCAGCCGTGCAGGGGTGCCCCGACGGCGGTGACGATCGACTCGTGCCAGGGCGTGCGCGTGCGGGGTCTCCGCATGCAGAACGCGCAGCAGATGCACGTGACGGTGTCCAGGTCCCGTGGCGTGCGCGTGGGCGGGCTCCGTATCGAGGCCCTCGAGGACAGCCCCAACACGGACAGCATCCACGTGGCTGAGTCCACAGCGGTGACCATCCAGAGGTGCCGCATCGGCACCGGCGACGACTGCATCTCCATCGTCAACGGCAGCTTTGGCGTCAAGATGCGGGACATCGACTGTGGCCCGGGCCACGCCATCAGCATCGGCAGACTGGGCAAGGGCGGTGGGTTCGCAGCGGTGGCGGACGTGGCGCTGGTCAGCGCGCAGAACGGGGTGCGGATCAAGACGTGGTAGGGCGGCGCCGGGTACGTCCGCGGCGTGCGCTTTGCCAACGTCACCGTCGATGGCGTCGACCACCCCATCATCATCGACCAGTTCTACTACGACGCTGCCACCCGCCCCTGCGCCAACCAGACCTCCGCCGTGGCCATGGCCGATGTGTCGTACCGCAACATCAGCAGCGCGCCGAGGCCATCAGGTTCGCGTGCAGCGACGCCGTGCCATGCATCGGCATCGTGCTTAGCGACATCAACCTGCACCGCGCTGATGATGATGGCGAGGTGCAGACCGTGTGCAACTGTGGCATCGGGTTCGACTACGGTCGCGTCCAGCCCGCCGCTGACTGCCTCCGCAGCAGCACCTGCGGCGGTGCACCTGATAAGCACCACCCCGACGACCACAACGAGGAGCAGGGGAAAGACGAGGCCGTCATCCTGCACACCGAGCTCTGATGCGCATGCAGCTGCAACTGCAACCAATCGCGCGCCCACAGGATGTTTGACGAAATGAAGTGTCGATAGTTGCTTTAGAAGGACAAGTCAGCAGGCCACGTCAGCACGAGAAACCAATGTGGACAGCTATGGACCTAAGTGATACGATATACTAAGTTTATAGACCCAAAAAACCACTTTGAAAGTTGATGCACCTAACTAAAACCTCCTCACAAGTTAATGGATCTCTGGTGCATTTAACTTATTTCAAATCTATTTTTAAAACCAAATAAATTTCGAAATTGTTTTAGAATCCTTGAGTTTTTGTAAAATCAGATAGAACTTTTGAAATAGGTTTTCCAACTTGGTTTCAAAAGAAATTCAAATATTTTATTTTATAAATAGAGCAAAACCGATTCACGTCTGAACCGAATTTTGATAATCATTTTTCACACATAAAAATTAAATACAAAGACATGAATGCAAGCAAACAAATCAAATTAATTATAAATGTTTTTAGGAAACCATATTTTCTAGTATTTAAATTGTTATCAACCTAACTAAACCTTGGAAAATTTTACGAAAATTATTAAATTATTTTTTTTATTTAGTGTTTTCTATTCACAACCCAAAATAGAAATTTTGGGGTATGACAGTCTAGTTGCTCCATCAGCTTTTTTCATTTTGTGGGATGATTTTCATGGCATGGCACTAGATTGCCTCAAGATATCCCATGCTCTTTCCGTCTCATCTCTGGATCAATGGCAACAATGTCGTGGTCGAGTTTCACTAAAGGACGTACCGGCGACTGGCTCCTACTATATGGTTAACTATTCTCTTCGTCCTGAATACAATGTTTCCAAACAATTTTCGGATAAAATAAGGAGCCTGACAAAAGACCATCTTGCTCCTCACTAATTAGGATGAAGGGACTAGTTTAGTTGTTATTTTCACAGTAATTAGGAGACAAAATCATTGAGGGTGACAAATTTTTTTATCTTGATATTGTTGATATCTATTTAAACAATCAAGAAATATATGTATTCCCTCCGTTCCAAATTATAAGTCGCTTTGACTTTTCTAATACATAAATTTGCTATGTATCTAGATATAACGTATGTCTAGCTACGTAGCAAACTTGATGTACCAAAAAAGTCAAAGCGACTTATAATTTGGAACGGAAGGAGTACATGCTATACAAGAAAAACTATATATAGACCGCGCACATGTGAAAAAATTCTAGAGAATTCTGGTTCTGTTGTTTTCTTTATAAGTGACAAATTTTTGTAGTAATTTAATTTATTGAGGAAGTTTAATAGCAGATTAATTCAGCATATGGAAACAGCCGGTTGTCTGCTCCCCTGTTTATATGACGCTAGAGGCCGCCATAAAATCCCTTAACCCTTTTTTTTTTAAAAAAAAGACATGAACAAGCCAATGAGTTCAGTATGATCCAACAAATTTGAACAAAAGCCGATGATCAGATGACTTTATATCCCAGATGACACCTACTGCTCTTTCTGTTTCTTGGGCTAGGTGTAGTGCAAACCGAACATGACAAATAGTTGTGCAAGCTCGTATTTATGAAAGATGCTCATGTTTCGTGCTTCGTTTTCCTCTAGAGATGCCCTGGTGCCCTGCATGTGCCCTTAATTTAAGAAAATGAGTAGGACAATGGAGCGCTCTAAACTATGAGCAATTTTTTATATCATTCAAGATTTGCAGTTGATTTTGTCTCGTATCATATGTTTGAAAGAGATGCGTGGCTTGCCCCCTCTACGTGTGGAGGGCCATCCTACTACTGTATTAAAATGGGCTGTTGACTTTGTGTCGATGTATACACTGCACCAAGCACCCTCGCATTCCCATCTAATGGGAGCTCTGGGGATCCATGTGTCGATTGTATATATATAGGCCATGTTCGGCTTATCCCATATTCGGCTTGTTCGGCTTCTCTTTTCAGCGGAAACCGTGTTTTTCTTTCACAACAATTCAGTCAGAACAGTATATTTCAGTCAGTTTCAGCCAAGTTTCAGACCAGTGAACGGGGCCATATAATCACAAGTGAGGGGAAGCTAAGGCTTAGGGCGGAAGAGTTGGATCAGAAACATCTTTGCAGTTGAGTCACCAGCTACATACCGCGGTACGTTTCTAGATTCACCATAGCAACAACATCCGCTTAGAATTCACATATTTGAGTAAGTTTCTTAATTTCCTTGCTTTGGTTTCTATGGAGACTCTCGGACTCTCGGAGAGACCGGACGGGGGGGCCGAGTACTGGCATCTTCGGCACTCTGCCTCCGCCAGCAGCGCCCAGCGCGGTTGCCGGCTTGCCGGCCTCGTGCCATGGTGCTCGAGACCTCGAGTCCGCGTCGATGCGAGACGGCGAGATCCCACCGGGCACCGGCCACCACCTGACCACCACCACATCCTGCGACTAGAATGTAGAAGTGCTCAGCGCTGCCGCATGCTAGCTTGGTAGTTGCTACAGGTTAGTTCGATTCCTGGTCTCTTTCTTTCCCTATTTCTGACAAGGTAATATTTGGCATGATTTTACTAGATTGACAATCAAATTGACTAGACATGATTTCTTAATTGATTAGCACATAGTAATGGTGCGTCTGAAAAGTCTCCATCCTTTTGCCCTGTTAGTTCTAAATAATGTGTGTCTCTATAGTTGCATGGGCCCTTTTGTGTTCCCCGCTAGGCAGCCTCGTCAAACACGGCGTCCCGTGTGACGTGCACACACCCATCCACAGGATTGAACATCCTGTAGGCCTTCGATCCTGCTTCATAGCCGACGATCAGTCGAGTCGAAGGCAGTTCTGAGATGCAGTCGAAGATGGTGATGGAGTGAAGGAAATAACTGAAGAGCTCTTGGAGATTTTTCTAAATAATGTGTGGGTTATCCTTTCTTTAGTTGTATGGGCCCTATTGTGTTCGCGTGTGCCCAGTTCTAGGCGCTCTGTTTCTTGTATTGTGAATTTTGCTTGCGTTGTACCCCAGTTCTAGGTGCTTTGTTATTGCTCCATCTGTCGAAATCTCCTCTCCTTTATGCAGATGGAAGAATTTCAAAGGCTACTGGAGGCAGCCATAGAAGGCAAAGCGGAAGAAACTGAAACGGGGAATACTTTCCTGGACGATGTCATCCCAGACGTACGTGCTATGCGGTGGAACAACTGAAAAGGGGAATACCTGCCTCCACATCGCATCTCTCTGTGGGCACAAAGGTTTCTGCACCAAGATCCTGAAGCAGGAGTCGCGTGTCCCTTCAGTCTCGTCTCTTCTATCCGTCACCAACAAGGACGGCGAGACGCCACTGCTCATCGCCGTGAAGAGCGGCCATGTTTCTTTGGCTGATCATTTACTCGAGGAATATAGTAGGCACGGGCTGAACCAGGATCTTTTGACGCCAGACAAGCATGGATGCAACGTCCTGCACCATGCCATCCGCAATGGCTACAAGGAACTCGCACTTAAACTGATAGAGAAGCAGCCTGCCCTTTCAGAATCTTGTAACGAGCGCAAAGAGTCCCCCATGTTCATGGCAGTGCTAAAAGGTTTCAAGGATGTTTACGTCAAGTTGTTGAGCAATCAAAAGTCGAAATATACCGGACCTGCTGGCTGCAATGTTTTGCACGCTGCTGTTAAATATGGCGACAAAGGTACAGAGTTACGAAACTACAGTATGTACATAATGCATCTACTATATGACAAACAGGAATAATTGGATGGTACTGGTATTCTATATATATAGTGCGGCCTGTTTGTGACAGCTCCGCTTTGGATCATGAAAACTAGTCCTTGAATCCATGCTCTCACACGCGCTACACAATCTTAAGAGACAAAAGAATTCATTATTATTGTTTATGCCCCTGACTCATAAAATTACTCATACAAAATATTTTATTTTTCTCTGTGTTCATTTCCTAACATATATGTGCTTTACGGTTTTTTAGATTAAGATTTAAGGGGATATCTTAGTTTTTTAATAATGGTAGAAGTGGTAGTTTAGATACAAATTTAATGGGTTATGTAGATTATCTATGGTAATAGTAAGTGGGTAGTTACACTACGGGAGAGGCAAAATTCCCCGAGTGTCGCAGGCTTCCCCGAGTGCCAAAAATCAGGCACTTGGCAAAGCCAATCTTCCCCGAGTGTTGCACTCGGGGAAGAATAGCACTCGGGGAAGAGAGGCTTTGCCGAGTGCCGCAGAGTGCCTAGCACTCGGTAAAGACCGGCACTCGGCAAAGGCCCTCTTCCCCGAGTGCAACACTCGGGGAAGAGCGGCACTCGGCAAAGAAAAATGTTACTTGACGGTCCAACCCGCCCACGCCGTTAAAACTAAAAAAAAATTTGCTTTGCCGAGTGTCGCACCCTGGCACTCGGCAAAGAGGCTGGCTTTCCCGAGTGCCCTGTCATGGCACTCGGCAAAGGGCCTCTTTGCCGAGTGCCGGGGAAGGCACTCGGGGAAGAAAATTTTAAAATTTGAATTTTTCAAAAGACCTCGGATGGAAAAACTTCATAAATGAAAATTATAGATCTCCAAAAGTTATGAAACTATGTAGTTGACAACTTTTTGATTTGAAATCATATTATCATGCAAAACTACGTTTGAATCTCTAAAATTTGAAATTCGAATTTTTCAAACGACCTCGGATGGAAAACTACCTAAATGAAAATTGTATATCTCGAAAAGTTATGAAACTTTGTAGTTTATCACTTTTTGATTTGAATTCGTTTAGGGTCTCAAACAAACAATTTACTCTCGGTTTAGTATAATATATGAGGATAGATAACGGAATCTAGACACAAGTAACAGTGTAGTGCAGTGGTAGAGCACCAGACACGTGAGGGAGAGGTCGTAAGTTCGAATCCCGCCGGCCGCGTTAGCCGTGAATTTTGCGCAAAAAATGCAGCGACTTCAATGGAGGCGGGCGCACACTGGCCGGTGGCGGCCTCCCCCAAAAAAAAATTTTTGGGTTTTTTTGCTATTATTTTCGGTTTTTTCGCATTTTTATTTTGCCGAGTGTAAATCTTCCCACCCTTATCCAGTAATAAAGGCAACTCTAGCTTCTGGTACAACTGGACTTATGAAACCGATCATGCTGGACAATCAAATACTTCTTCCCTCATACTTATCTACTTCGCTTAGGCAAAAGATTTCAAACGGCGTCGGCTGTCGGCGAACGGCGTCAAATCTTTCCCGAGTGCCAGCACGGCACTCGGCAAAGTCTTCCCCAAGTGCATGATTTTCGGCACTCGGGAAAGACGCCTTTGCCGGATGAGGATTAGCCGGAGTGTTGCACTCGGGGAAGGCTTGCCCGAGTGCAACTGGGGCTTCCCCGAGTGCAACTGGCACTCGGGGAAGCCACTGGCTGCTGTAGGTATCAATTTTGGTTTACCTAGATCATGTTTTTAATGGTATACAAGTAGATAATTTAAATATATATTTGTGGGTTACTTTGTGTTGTTTTACACAATCGCAGAGGTCGATAATTATTTTGAAAATAGAGTAGATTCAATAATTGGTATTGTTATCAATGGTATTAGAGTCTACAGACTTGATGATCAAACATTTCTAATTTTTGTCAGGATTTCTAGATTTTGTCTTTTTTTTTCTAGTGGGTTTCATGATGATTAACATAGAAGCTTCAATGGTGAGCTTTAGTTAAAGTTTTTAGGTTTTATCATTCTTTAGCGTGATATTTGTTTAGTTATAACAAAAGCTTAAGTTATATAAGCTCTTGTTGCATCTCTGTTCCCGTGTTACTAATCTATACTTTAACTTTAAAATTTTAATATAGTCGTAGAAATTTTTCAATCCACGCAACTGAGTTGAAATCTAGTGCTTCTCGTATCTTGCTCAAAAAATTTACTTTTTATTTTACTAAAAGAAGATTCTTGATCTCAGACTACCCTCTTAGTTCTTATGATACCATAAATAGTTATTTCAGCTTGCGCCATGGTAGTCAACGAATTATACGTGTTGTGGTATTGTTTATAAAACATATAGTTCCTAAAATGAATTACCAATAGAAATATGACATAAATTTTTAGTCAAATGTATAAACTTATATAAAATAAGAACATATGAAATTTATTATCATGGACAATTAATATAATTTCAAGTGAACTGCTAGTGCGTCATTGCTATGCGCGGTTTCTTAATCGTACATTTTCTACAATTGATAATCTATCAGAACAAATATGTATTCTAAAGTATAGACTTTTAATTATTCTATATGTCTGAATATAGCATAATGTTTACTTTATCAGAGTCTTGGTTTCCACAATCTGGCCTCAAATAGATTCTGGATTCCATAATCTGATCTGATTCTTAAGCTTTTGGATTTTTAGCTTCGAAAATCCGTGAATCCATAATCCAGAAGCTTAACCTGTTTGGCAGGGCTCCAATTTTTGTGACTCTCTTCTATCAGCACATCTAATGAGTACGTATATATGATAACTCCATGGTTGTTAACAATCGTCCGTGCATTTATTTACTTACAGATTTCGTTGAAGAACTTGTGGGTAGACGTTCTAACATTGCCAAATATCTGGCTATACAAGAGGACAAGAAAAAAGGCAGTCCAATGCAGCTTACTGCACATTTTAACAGGGACGAAATTTTAAAAATAATGTTGGAGTTTGATCGGTCCTTAGGGTATCAAATCTCCACAGATGGTATTCCTCTTCTTCATACTACTGCAGAGCGAGGCCATGTTACTGTTGCTCGAGCACTTCTTGAACATTGTCCAGATGCTCCCTACTGCAATAACAAGGGCAGAACATGTCTTCATATAGCTGTAGAGGAAGACCAGATAAAGTTTGTTGAATTTATCCTTAAGAAGAACTCAAAACTTGGGAAACTTGTTAATATGCTAGATGGTAACACGGTGACAGTGCTCTGCATCTCGCAGTTGAAAAGTGCAATCCGAAGATGGTCAGTGCTTTACTGGGTCACCCTGACATCGACATCAGTGTTATTAACGAACATGCTTGCACAGCAATCTGGAAATTAAATGAATTCGAAGACTTGTCCAAGACTATAAACTGGGTACGCATGCTCTCGACAAACATAATACTTTCAATTTGCATTTTAGTAGAAATGATCTCGTAGAAGAGACGAATCTTCTGTGTGACGTACAACACGATTCAACTTTTCCAGTGTTGCTGACGTTGTCCACAGCATAAAGTTTTGACCTAGTTCACTAGTTACCAAAGAATTATTTACACTTCGTTTTAGTGATGAAGTACCAGAAGTTAAGGATTTGAGTTATATGCACTCTCTGGGCATACGCGCGCCATCAGGGCCCATAATTTAAAATGATCATTACCATGGAACTTTTTGTCGATACAATTTGCTCGCTTAAACTCGAAACAACAATAAATAGTTTGTTGTTGTTTTCTTTTGCCTAATGTTTTCTGATTCAGGATAAAATAATAAATTTCATGACAAAGCATTGAGTAACGTAGTAATTCTGGAAAATCTGAAGACAAAGGATTGAGATTTTTTTAGCCCAATGTTTTCTCTTTTGCTTTTTTTTCTGTATTAGTCCATAGATAGCATAATAGCATTAGAGCCCTACGTGCAACTTTAATTTGACTAAAGCGCTCCATGGCGCGCCAGCCAAGAATCCTATGCTGATGGATAGATGTGGATACGGATTCACGTCAAGGTTTTTAAATCTCGGGCTATAGCTACTGTATAGTTTTTTTTAGGCAGATCATGGTATTTGTGTCTGTCGGATACCATAAAAAGGGGTACTCTAAGCAAGAACCGAAAAGATTGCTTAGACCTTACAAATATCAAAGCCGAAGGACAACCACGAGGCCTCGGCCAATTCTCCGATTCGCCCGAGGCCCGCGCCGCAAAGGCCTCGGACGAAAAGCCAACTCTCTGCCTCGCCGAGGCCCCCTCGCCCGAGGCCCTGCCCCGCAAGGCCTCGGACGGGTTACCGATTCTCCGATTCGCCCGAGGTCCCGCGCATAAAGCCTCAGACGAAGTACCGATTCTCCTACTCGCTCGAGGCCGGCTCGGCAACAACATCGTCGCCTCCGTCTCGACCGACTTCTCTGACAAAACGTCACGTCCAATTAACGCGTCCAACCACTCCCGCAACGTTACCGTACGTCGTCGGCAGAAGATGCCGGATCGGCCGACGAGATGGGAGACAGGGATCAAGCGGGGTTACCGCCATCGTGCTTTCAAAGATCGCGCCCATAATCGACGCCTGCATTACACCGTATGCTACCTAACTCCTGCTCCAGGAACAACGCGGCGTGGGGAGTCAAGTCCGGGTCACTATAGCCTCGGAATCAGTGTATAGGCCCAATTGCTCCCTCCAAGCCTCGGCAATCCACTTTAGGGTCTCGGTAGCCTCGGGATTCGCGCCCACCGAGCCCCCCCACGATGGCGGCTCGCCTCGCACCAATCGAGCCTCGGCTTACATCGCTTAACGCGCAAATGACCGCACGCGTCGTCGGCCATGCCCTGCGCCAAGCTATCACTAGAGCTCCCACGTCGCACAAGATCTGGTGTGACCGGCGCGTTGCTCCAGTGCATCAAGGACAAGACCGCTCCGTTGACCATGCCGCCACAGTAGTAAGCTACAGGGCTCAGACACGCCGTCTCCGCTCACAAGACGCCGCATAGCAAACACATGTATCACCCCTGTCCCCCCTTCAACTATAAAAGGAGAGACCGGGGCCGTTTCTACACATAGAAAGACAGACGAACTCACGCATAGGCTCACGTAGATTCAGACACACACGCTCCCCCGCTGCATGAGAGCAATGTCTCATGCAGCCCATACCGCTCCACGCAGAGACCCGGGACTAGCTCCCTCTCTCGCCCAGCTTGTAACCCCCTACTATAAGCACTTCGGTGCAAGGAATACAAGATCGATCTCTCAGACTGGACGTAGGGCACCAATTGCCTGAACCAGTATAAACCTTGTGTCTCTTTGCATCACCATCCGGGATTAGAGGCACGCAGTTCAAATTCACTAGTTGGTTGAGGACCCCTCGGTCCAAAACACCGACAGTTGGCGCGCTAGGTAGGGGCACTACTGCGTGTTAGCTTAATCGTCCCAACAAGTTTCGGATGGCAGGCCCCATACGCCCGCTACGTCTCGGCACGGTGATCTGGTTTGGGAGCCTAGAGTTCATGTCTCTAGGATGTGAGTACGATATGGTACTCCTCATGCCCAGAGCCCCACCGACCGATGACGATGTCACGCACCAGCAGCCCAGGCACAGGCGGCGCCCGGGCCGCCGCTCTCGTCGCGCTCGCCAGGCACGACGCGAGCGGGATCACCCCGACACCGCACGAGCTCAGAGCGACGCGCCGTGCTCCGACGGTATCCCATGCCCGGCTGTTGGTATAGAGTCCCTGGTTGGGGACCTGTCTAGCTTAAGCCTGGGCAAGGGAAAGACGCCGGTGACATGCAGCAACGCCCCGTCATCAAGTTCCGCACCGCCACCTCCTGAGGAGCCAACACCGGCGGAGCAGGGTCCAGCGATGGCACCATCCCCATACCCCTTCGGGTTGAAAAATGCCGCCAGCACCTTCGCTTCCGCCTATGCTTCCGCTCACATGGAGCCCTCAGGACGCTACCAACGTTTCGCCCTTGATCTCTTCACCACAACCTCGACCCACACCCACGCTGACTCCTCGGAGGAAGATGAGGCGTGGGCCGGAGTGAACTTCTCCGGGCTTCGCGACCCTAAGGCTATGCGTCTCTTCTTGGCTGCGAGCGACTACTGCTTCTTGGCCCCGGGGGCTACACCCACTTGTTGGTAGCTATTGACAAGTTCTCCAAGTGGATCAAGGCTCGTCTGATCACTCAAATCAAATCTGAGCAAGCGGTACTGTTCTTCACTGATATCATCCATAGGTTTGGGGTTCCAAACACCATCATCACCGACAATGGGACACAATTCACTGGCCGCAAATTCCTAACATTCTACGACGACCACCACATCCGTGTGGTCTGGTCGGCCGTAGGACACCCTAGAACAAATGGCCAAGTAGAACGTGCCAACGACATGATCCTACAGGGCCTCAAACCAAGGATATACAACCGGTTGAAGAAATTCGGCAAGAAATGCCTGGCTGAACTCCCGTCGGTCATCTGGAGCCTGAGAAACACCCCGAGCCGAGCCACGGGGTTCACACCATTCTTCCTGGTCTATGGAGCCGAGGCCATCCTCCCCACTGACTTGGAGTACGGTTCCCCAAGGCTATAGGCCTACAACGAGCAAAGCAACCGCCCTGCCTGTGAGGATGCCCTTGACCAACTGGAGGAAGCCCGAGACGTTGCGCTGCTACATTCGGCCAAGTACCAGCAAGCCCTACGACCGTACTGCACTATGCTACCTAACTCCTGCTCCAGGAACAACGTGGCGTGGGGAGTCAAGTCCGGGTCACTATAGCCTCGGAATCAGTGTATAGGCCCAACTGCTCCCTCCAAGCCTCGGCAATCCACTTCAGGGTCTCGGCAACCTCGGGATTCGCGCCTGCCGAGCCCCCCACGATGGCTCGGCCTCGGCACCAACCGAGCCTCGGCTTCTTACATCATTAACGCGACAAATGACCGCACGACGCTGGCTATGCCCTCGCGCCAAGCTATCATCGAGCTCCCACGCCACACAAGATCGGTGTGACCGCACGCTGCTCTAGTGCATCAAGGACAAGACCGCTCCGTTGACCATGCCGCCACAAAGAGTAAGCTACAGTGGCTCGTACACGCCCGCCTCGCCACAAGACGCCGCATAGCAAACACATGTATCACCCTTGTCCTCCCTTCAACTATAAAAGGAGAGACCGGGGCCGTTTCTAGACACAGAAAGACAGATTTAACTCACGATAGGCTCACGAGATTCGTGACACACACGCTCCCCGCTGCCTGAGAGCAACGTCTCAAGCAGCCCACACCGCTCCACGCAGAGACCCGGGACTAGCTCCCTCTCTCGCCTTCGGTGTAAGGAATACAAGATCGATCTCTCAGACTGGATGTAGGGCACCAATTGCCTGAACCAGTATAAACCTTGTGTCTCCTTGCATCACCATCCGGGATTAGGGACACGCAGTTCAAATTCACTAGTTGGTTTTGGACCACCCGATCCAAAACACCGACAGTGTCCATATACAATTTGGTGGCTACAGTCTCATCATTTAGCTCCGCTATTAGTTGTCTGAGAGGCCATTCCATGGATGATAGAACTGGAGTTTAAATCAGTGGTTCACATATGACCATCAGTTGTGGCTAGAGGATGGAATATGCATGGGTCAGTCTTCACACGCTTCCTAGCTCTAGGACATAGGGTATGCTGCTGGCTCCACAGATCCGGAGTCCAGTCTAAAGGATTCTTTGGGTTGGACCCACTCACATGTGTATCTGTTATCAGATTGCCGTTCACAAGCCTCACTATTCAACTGGTGGGTCATGTATAATTAACATGCGAATTGAGCTACGTGTACGTGAGCATGTGCCTCTATAAAAATGCTATAAGCATCAACCTGCGCCACTGAAACACTAGTAGAAAAAGTGGCTTTAGTCCGGGGTGGGAAAGGCCTTTAGTCCCGGTTTAGAGATCCGAGACCCAGTTACCTGACCGGGACTAAAGGTCCTCCGAGCCTCCCACCCATGTGACACATGAGACTAGAACTAGAACCCAAG